CAAAACTCTGCATTTGAACAGTCAATAGCAAATACTTAAACTAATAATAAAACAGTAGCTGATTCAGAAGCGCCAGATATTCATAGCAAAGTCAGAATTACCTCTTCTCCTAGGTTCACGAAACGGTCGTCCATAAAATGCATTGCTGTTCTGTTGTAAGTAATCTTAAAGATTCCTAAATGCATCTACTTTCGGAAGGCCAAATAAAGTGCTTTTGCTTTCGCCTAGAAACACACAGCGTCTCTCTGACATGGCTGCTTCAACACTAACTGCGGTTACTGAAACCACGCCTTCTTTCTTTGCGTGCACATTTGGGCCGCATTATGCTAATATTGCCACATAGTGAGGTAGATATGTGGGGGCGTGTTAGAACGAGCCGTTTTAGGGGGGCGTGGCAGAGTCTTAACTTTGATAAAGAATATCTCTTTGGTTTTGAGACTTTAGTCTTTGCAACTTCAGGGATCTTATCTATGCACAATCAGCTTGTAACACTCCAAAGAGAAAGGAAAACTTGAAATCGCATCATATGACCCCTTTAATAGAAAAAATATTTTCAGAACCAATAATGCTGAAAAAGTGATATTTTTTCATGATAGAATAATGACTAAAAAACTACAAAACAAAACTACAAAACAATAACAGTCCTCAGAAAAACTGAGACTTAGAGATTATACATAATAACAGGAACACCGCTCACAGCAGGTGATTTGAAGTATAAGAGTAATTGTCTTCAAAATCATTGCTGAATGTGATGAATGAGTTACAAAAGCGGGTTTAATGGCTCTAGGATTTAACGACACTACTTATTGAAGGATGTTTTACCCTGCTGACAGTCTCACACTCTACAGTGCAAGTGAAGCAGCAGAGTTTTGTTGCATAACAGTTGCAGTTAAAGTCTGTAGCACACTAAAGCACAGCATGTTGCCACCAAGCGGCAACCTTCCGGTCTCTCTATTGAAACCAACACGGAAGTGACTTAAACTGCAATTCATCGACTGGCCGCTATAGACTGGCTCCAAAAGGGAGTCAGTCCCATAAACTCCCCATGTTAAAATGCCCAACTTTGCAGCAGAAAAAAAATGTGTTTACAGCCTGGTACAAAAAGTGGTTTTGGTCTATATAGCTAATTTTGCCCTTTATGACAACTGTGAGGGGGGTTAATTTTTAACTCATCCATTTAAATTATATTAAGCCTTAAAGTCCAGCAAAATTAGGGGCGTGGCCACTTGAGTGACAGGTGGATTGCCGCTGCTGTGTCACCACCGTTGCGCAAGGCGGGTGCGGTTTCAGCAACCAGCTCCACCCACATCCCGCCTTTTTGCCCATTTTCGATTATCCGGGAGTGATGCGCAGCCAAGATGGCGACGGCCGTCTCCGCACACTTTGAGCGTCAAAAATGCTCTTCAGAAACCTACGGGTGACGTCACGGACACTACGTCCATGTTTTTTTACAGTCTATGGTTGCCACCAAAAAACTGCCACTCTAAAAAGCAGTGGAAAATGGTAGGCCTCAAAAATGGGTCACAAATGGGTCACAAATCTGTTTTGATCAGGTTGTGGATAGAAGCTTCACAGTAAGTTTACACTGCTGTTGAAGTTTAGGGTGTAAAAAGATTTTTTAAGTCTTTTATGCTCACCTAGGATGCATTTATAAAAAATAAAAAAAAACAGTAAAAAAAGGAACATTGTCAAATATTATTCCAATTTAAAATAACAGTTTTCTATTATAATATATTTTAAAATCCAATTCATTCCTTTGATGGCAAAGCTGAATTTTCAGCGTCATTAATCCAGTCTTCAGTGTCACATGATTCTTCAGAAATCATTCGAATAAGCTGTTTTGCTGCTTACGAAGCATTCAATTCTGCTTACATTTTTTGTGGAAATAGATTTTTATTTGTAACAATGTAAAAGTCTTAAAAGTGTAAAAGTATTAGAAATTTCTGACCCACCGTGCAAAGTTCAATTAATCAGAACACAAATTCATCGCTTGGAGGAATCTATTCATATTAGATGTCAACATGGACAGGATATTTGACATCACAAAGTAAAAGAAAATGAGACCCAGACTACATTAAAATGTTTTAAATGGCTTTGTGCTGCGAACTATCGCCTGACTAGACTAGAGAATGGACGACAAAGTTGATCATCATGACCCATATTTACATGCAAAAGCAAGCTCATGAATATGAGCCAGTGTGCTGAAACTCCCTCAAGCTTTTTCCTTCAAAAGCTAAAGCATATAGAGGTAAATCTGGACACTTTTAACACCTGGATGCAAAGATAACTCTAGAAACAGGAAGTAGTCATGCAAATGAACCGCAGTCAGAGTTTTTTTGTGTTTTAGATAATAACAGTGAGTCATTCTGCTTGTAAAGTGTGTGTGCCCACACAGTAGCTCACGCACAAGATATTTGTTTGTGTTCTACAATTTGCTGTGTGTGATTAGTGTGTATATATGAGCTTATCTAGT